GGAAGTACAAAGAGAATGTGTACTTAGAGTTCTGGTAGATATTGTAAAACTGCTGTTGTTGACATTCCCACTTGCTATGTACAGGTACCCTTTTTCCCACAGCCTGACCAACAGACTATGCAGTCAGACTTTTGAAATTTTGCCAATCTGATAGGTGAAAAATAGTTTCATAGTAGAATTTAAGTTTGTATTTCTTCTATTATGAGTGAGGTTGAGATACTAAAAAAGTTTTGTTCAATAAATGGAATGCTGTATAACAGCCAAAACATGCCATTGGAACCATGCTCTGCAATTTCTCCTTGCTTTGTTTGTTTAGGTCTTAGCATGGATAGAGAAGCATTTGTATCTAATAGACCCTTTCACGTAGAGCTAGTCTTGGATGATATCTTTTTGAAAATTTACATTCTTTTTGAAAATTTACATGTCTAATAGTTTTGCTCAAGTTGAATTAATAAAAATTCATAGAATTGTATTAATAAAAATTATAGCTTATAAAGTAGTCACTGTTTCATTTGAGCCTCATAACAACCCTGTTATTTTCTAGGTGTCATTCTCCTTTGAAAGGTGAAGAAACTATGGCCCAGAAAAGTTAATTGACTTGTCCAGGGTCAAGCTTACCCATGGTGCACTGGGGGACCGAACTATATTTTTACTCTAAATTTTCCTAAATTTGCTATTCTGTTGTGTGCCGTGCTGCTAATTGCATTGACAATAATGTAAGTGTAACAGAGTGATAGACAGTGTAGGCGCACATTTAACACTTTAGAAATTACCTCAGGCTCAGTGATTCCTTTCCAAACTGTATGGCTCCTTTGTTGACCTCTCTCTATTTAAATTAGCAAGTCCATTTTGAGGATCTAATGGAGAAGGCAAATTGTTTAGTTTCATTTATATATACAGTTAATCAGCAAAGTTTTGGAAGAAATAATGATGCTGTTCATCTTCTTAGAGCTGGAGATACATATTTTGGGGACTGTTTAACTTAGACACTTTGTAGATTAAGCTGAGGAATTCTCTCTCACAAGGAAAGAGGAATATCTTAATTTTTTTCACTGATTTTAAAGGTATTACCTACTTGCAGCAAATTCAGACAATACAAAAGTGTATTAAATACAAAAATGTATTAAGTGAAAGTACCTTGTAATAACAAACAACACATTTTTAGCACAGTCTTTTTTTTTTCTAATAACATATTTGGTACATATAAATTAGAGTATATGTATGCATATTAAAAAAAGAACATATATACACACACATACATACATATGTACATTTATTTAGTCAATTTATGATTGGCATTGGTTAACCATATGGGGAAAAATGAAAAGAATAATACTTAGGGTTGCCTAGTGTTAAGTGGGATTGTAAAGTGGTACAATATATTTAGAGAACAATTTGGCAATATCTATCAAATTCAAACTGTATTTTTCCTTTTATCTTGCAATTTTACTTCTACAAGTTTATCTTATAGATTCAGGTGTCTTAGGGTATATATCTTTCAAAGATTATTTATAGTATTACTTGAAATATCCAAAAATTAGCAGTAACTTAAATGTTCATCAATAGAAGTTTCCTTTTAAAAGCAATTAGAATTATCCCTTCTCTTAATTAAAATAATTGTTCAAAATAGAAAAATTAGAAAACTGCCAAGCAAAAAATAAAAGTAAGCAGCCCAACTCTATCACCTAAAATAAATGTTGTAAACATAATTGTAAAACTTTGGATCCTGTTGTAAATTCTCTCATAGAACCTGTTTTTTTCACTCATTGTGACTATCTCACCACAAAATAGAATGATTATCCTTATTATTATTAATTTTTTAAGGGAAGATAAGCATAAAGTAATGTAGATGGTATGTTTTGGAAAGAAACATTTTAACCAAGAGAGCTTGCCCATAAGAATTTTATATCCAGGTCCACTTTTCCTTTACAGCTTGATGGTTCCCAAACTTCAGTCCTGTGGACTAACTACTTCAACAAGTTTCACTGTCTTTGAGTTTCATCTATAATGCTACATACTTAACATATTTTTAAAAGTTCATTATGTCTAAACTCATGTCTAAGCATAATCTATGAAGTTGTTGATTCAAGAAAAAATTTATTGAGTGCCTACCCTGTGCCAGGAATAGTTCTACTTGCCGAGGAGACAGCAGTTACACAAAAACAAATGTTACTGCCCTTATGGAGCTTACAATTAGGGGTTGGATAGATGAGACATACATTTCAATATGTTAGAAAAAAATAAAGTTTGTTCAAGTATCACCTAAAATGGTCTCATATATCAGTGGTATGTGTATCACCCTTGGAAAATATTTCCCTATAGCAACATAAAGATACAGGGTACTTGTAGGCTTTGCACTGACAGAGCACCACGGAAGTGACTTCGGCAGGGTCAGCAGAGGGAATGTTGGAGGGTTGTTAAGAATGTCTGTCTGTTTTTGTGCCAGCACCACACTGTCTTGATTACTGTAGCTTTGTACTATAGTCTGAAGTCAGGGAGCCTGATTCCTCCAGCTCCGTTTTTCGTTCTCAAGATTGCTTTGGCTATTCAGGGTCTTTTGTGTTTCCATACAGATTGTGAAACTTTTTGTTCTAATTCTGTGAAAAATGCCAGTGGTAGTTTGATAGGGATTGCATTGAATCTGTAGATTGCTTTGGGTAGTAGAGTCATTTTCACAATGTTGATTCTTCCAATCCAAGAACATGGCAATGGAACAGGATAGAAAGCCCAGAGATAAACCCACGCACATATGGTCACCTTATCTTTGATAAAGGAGGCAGGAATGTACAGTGGAGAAAGGACAGCCTCTTCAATAAGTGGTGCTTGGAAAACTGGACAGGTACACCTAAAAGTATGCGATTAGATCACTCCCTAACACCATACACAAAAATAAACTCAAAATGGATTAAAGACCTAAATGTAAGGCCAGAAACTATCAAACTCTTAGAGGAAAACATAGGCAGAACACTCTATGACATAAATCACAGCAAGATCCTTTTTGACCCACCTCCCAGAGAAATGGAAATAAAAACAAAAATAAACAAATGGGACCTAATGAAACTTCAAAGCTTTTGCACAGTAAAGGAAACCATAAACAAGACCCAAAGACAACCCTCAGAATGGGAGAAAATATTTGCAAATGAAGCAACTGACAAAGGATTAATCTCCAAAATTTATAAGCAGCTCATGCAGCTCAATAACAAAACAACAAACAACCCAATCCAAAAATGGGCAGAAGACCTAAATAGACATTTCTCCAAAGAAGATATACAGACTGCCAATAAACACATGAAAGAATGCTCAACATCATTAATCATTAGAGAAATGCAAATCAAAACTACAATGAGATATCATCTCACACCAGTCAGAATGGCCATCATCAAAAAATCTAGAAACAATAAATGCTGGAGAGGGTGTGGAGAAAAGGGAACACTCTTGCACTGCTGGTGGGAATGTGAATAGGTACAGCCACTATGGAGGTTCCTTAAAAAACTACAAATAGAACTACCATATGACCCAGCAATCCCACTACTGGGCATATACCCTGAGAAAACCATAATTCAAAAAGAGTCATGTACCAAAATGTTCATTGCAGCTCTATTTACAATAGCCAGGAGATGGAAACAACCTAAGTGTTCATCATCGGATGAATGGATAAAGAAGATGTGGCACATACATACAATGGAATATTACTCAGCCATAAAAAAAAACGAAATTGAGCTATTTGTAATGAGGTGGCTGGACCTAGCATCTGTCATACAGAGTGAAGTAAGTCAGAAAGAGAAAGATACCGTATGCTAACACATATATATGGAATCTAAGAAAGAAAAAATGTCATGAAGAACCTAGGAGTAAAACAGGAATAAAGATACAGACCTACTAGAGAATGGACTTGAGGATATGTGACAAAGCGAGAGAGTGGCATGGACATATATACACTACCAAACCAGCTAGTGGGAAGCAGCCGCATAGTACAGGGAGATCAGCTCGGTGCTTTGTGACCACCTAGAGAGGTGGGATAGGGAGGGAGGGAGGGAGGGAGATGCAAGAGGGAAGAGATATGGGAACATATGTATATGTATAACTGATTCACTTTGTTATACAGCAGAAACTAGCACACCATTGTAAAGCAATTATACTCCAATAAAGATGTAAAAAAAAAAAAAAGAATGTCTGTCTGAACCTCTGACACAGTCTCTCTTTTGATTGTATCTTCAGGTTTTGTAACATTTACAATGTAAATGAAACTTTGTAGAATCATCAAAGTTTAGTGCTTAGAGGACCTTGATTATTAGTCTGATTGTCACAATTGTCTAATGAAGAAATGCGCTCAAGGAAATGAGAAGCAGAATGTTAATGACAAGTAGAACTAGAACTTATGTTCGCTGGTTGCTAGATGAGTGTTCTTTCCACAGTACTACAATGGATAATTGTTTGAGATGTTTGAGAAAAACAGGGAGTATAGAATTGGCTGTAGACAATGGCAGTTGGTAAAGGAGAATGAACTCTGAGTTTTTAAGGGCTTACCTTAGAATCTGGGGTAAAAGGAGCCAGTAAGGGAAAAATCACTGAATTAAACCTTAACAGATTTTGACCTTTCTTTACTAATGTTTTTTTCCCTTTAAAACGTTTAATTTAAAACAAGAAGGTCCTACTGTGTGTAGCACAGGGAACTATATTCAGTATCCTATAATAAACCATAATGGGAAAAGAAATATGAAAAAGAATATGTATATATATGTACAACTGAATCACTTCGCTATACACCAGAAACTAACACAACATTGTAAATCAGCTATCCTTCAGTTAAAAAAAACTTTTATTTAATCATTATTTCTATTTTAATTTAAAATTTTGCAGATAAATATATGTAGAGAATAGATCCCTTGAAAATGTTTTAAGTGTTTTTACTAGAGCATATGTTAAAAAATTTGTAGGATTAAGAGTTAGTGAGGTTATTTTCTTCCATGTCACTTATTGTTCTTTTTCTTCTTTTCCAGAATTTTATAGGAGTGAAGTGATTAAGAATTCCTTGGTAAGTTGGTTTTTTGACAGGTACATATGACTAAGCCTATAACTCCTATTTTAGAAAATGCTGAGACATAAAATAAGTTGGGGCTTCCCTGGTGGCGCAGTGGTTGAGAGTCCGCCTGCCGATGCAGGGGACACGGGTTTGTGCCCTGGTCTGGGAAGATCCCACATGCCGCGGAGCGGCTGCACCCGTGAGCCATGGCCTCTGAGCCTGCACGTCCGGAGCCCGTGCTCCGCAAAGGGAGAGGCCACAACAGTGAGAGGCCCGCGTACTGCAAAAAAAAAAGAAAAAAAAATTCGTTGAATTTCAGTTTTGGTGTTATGATAATTCTACAGTTAAATCTTCTGCTCAGTTATTGCTTAAATCTTCATTGATTTGTTCATTGTTGTATCTCTAGTGCTTAGAGCATGCCTGGCATTCTGTAATTTTGTCACTTCTATTACTATTGAGGTTTTTAAAAAATAATTAATTAATTAATTTTATTTTTGGCTGCATTGGGTCTTCGTTGCTGCGCACCGGGTTTCTCTAGTTGCGGTGAGCGGGGGCTACTCTTCGTTGTGGTGTGTGGGCTTCTCATCCCGGTAGCTTCTCTTTGTTGCAGAGCATGGGCTCTAGGCGCCTGGGCTTCAGTAGTTGTGGCACATGAGCTCAGTAGTTGCGGCTCGTGGGCTGTAGAGCGCAGCCTCAGTAGTTGTGGCGCACGGGCTTAGTTGCTCCGCGGCATGTGGGATCTTCCTGGACCAGGGCTTGGACCTGTGTCCCCTGCATTGGCAGGTGGATTCTTAACCACGGCACCACCAGGGAAGTCCCCTGTCGAGGTTTTTGGCTGTTTGACTTACCAAACAACATAATAAATGATACCTTTGTATGTAGTTCTTAAGAATTTTATGTCTAGGGCCATTGCGTAGGCTCCTTCCACTTGTTTTTTGGCGATAGCATTGCTCAGTTAGAAAGTTGGAAATGTCCTACTTTTGATAATGGGTACACTAGATATTTGCATAAGTGGCTCAATTTATTCGGCCATGTTGATATAAAGAAGAGCTTTTTGGTACTGATAATATCCTTTTAACAGTCCAAGACCATCCTGGATTTGGCCCCTGTCTACCTTTTCAACCTCATCTGCTAACAGTTTTCCTCACTCATTGTGTTCCAGGCTTACCTCATTTTTCCAGTGCTTCAAACATGCCAAACTTTTCTTGTTCCTTATGCCGCAGCACCTGTTTCCCCACTTCTTCACTTGGCTGAATACTCCTTTGAAGTCTGAGCTATGTCACTTCAGCCAGGCCTTCTATGACTATTCTGTCTAAAGTAGTTCCCTTTCCACTCTTTTTTACATCACCCTGTTTTGTTTTTTTTAGAGCATTTGTCACTGTTGGAAATTCTTGTCCATTTATCTGTTTATTATCTGTCTCCCACCTACAAGAACGCAAGTTTCATGAGAGCAGGAACCTTGCCAGTCTTGTTCTCCTCTGAAACCCTAGAGTCTAGAATATTGTAGATGCTCAGTGAATATTTGTTAGATGAATAAATGGATATCAGTGATGTGTTATATTTACAGAATCCTTTTACATATGTTGTCTCATTTTGATCCTTAGAACAACTTGTAAGGTAGAGGGGGTAGATCTTAAGAAACTGACATCCAGAGAGACTCAGTGATTTTTGCAGAGTCACACAACTGGGGGACCAGAACCGCAGGTCCAGACCTTCCATCTTCAACTCTCTACTACTCTTTCCTCTTCATCAAGCTGTCTTCACCGCCCAGCTTGTGGGATCTTAGTTCCCCCACCAGGGATTGAACCCGCGCCCTCGGCAGTGAAAGTGTAGAGTCCTTACTACCGGACCACCAGGGGATTCCCTATATAGGATTTTTTGTTTCAATTTAAATCAAGAGATACATTTTAAATGTCAGACTGAGCACACTGTAGTGCAGAGATACATTTTAAATGGCAGACTGAGCACAGGTAGTGCCAACAGTGGGCCTAGCTCGAAAGAACTGATAGTAAGAACAACTATTTTTTTTTTTTTTTTTTTTTTTTTTTTTTTTTTTTTTTGTTTTTTTTTTTCCTTGCGTTATGTGGGCCTCTCACTGTTGTGGCCTCTCCCATTTGCGGAGCACAGGCTCCGGACGCGCAGGCTCAGTGGCCATGGCTCACGGGCCCAGCCGCTCCGCGGCATGTGGGATCTTCCCGAAACGGGGCACAAACCCGCGTCTCCTGCATCGGCAGGCGGACTCTCAAGCACTGCGCCACCAGGGAAGCCCAAGAACAACTATTTTTAAGGTTGTGCATTTTAGAGACAGTGTCACCTGATGACTGCCACCTGGTGGTCAAAGAGTGTAGGACCTTATTCATTTTAACATTTCTAAAGTCAGAATTTATCTTACAGTGGAAGAAAAATGCTTGTTAGAATTGATGCTAAATTGGAATACGTTAGATGGTAATAAATATAATGGAGTAAAATAAAGCAGTATAATGGAGTATCTGGCAGGGATGGTTGCTGAATTTCTATGGCAGTCACATAGAAGATCTCATCTGAGCAGACACCTGAAAAAAGTGAGGGAACATACTGTGTATCTAAGTGGGAAAGACTGTTTCAGGCCAAGAATCAGGAAAGTATGAAGGTAGGAGTGTACTTGAGGTTTTTAAGGAATGGCTAAGAAGTTAGTATGGCTGGAGTGGAGTGAGTGGTTTGAGATTTTGCTCAGCAAGCATGACAAAGAAGGGGTAAGGGAATTGAGGATCAGGGCAGCAGAGGAAATGACCTGGAGAGACAGCAGGTGATAGTCAAGGGGTGGGTGGCATGAGGATGAGATTTTGGGAGGTAACACAAAATTGGAAGCATCTAGTGGACAAGGACCCTCAACTTACTCATTTTTCTATTTTCCAATGTCCCTAGCACAGTGAAGTCCAGTAAGTATCTACTGCAGTAACTGGAATAATCCACCATTGATAGGCTGGATGGTGGAGATGTGACTCCAAATTATATGTCAGAGTCCTGATTTCTTCTCAGATATATTTAGCATAGAACGATTAATGGTGAATGTATAATTCGACTTTTTTGTCTCTGGCTTCAGCTAACCATACCCTCCAAACCATTTGTTAACTTTTGGGAACTTTTTTTTTCTTTTTTTTTTTGGTTTTGGGGGAAGTTAGATCCTTAATATTGTCGAAGGGCCATTGGTTAATTTAAACTAAAATAATTGAAGCAATAAGAATGGAAGTAACTAAATTCTCTCAATTGGATTTTGTACATACACAAAAGTAGAGGTGAATTGTGTAATGAACCCACATGCACCATCTTTAACAGTTATAAAGTTAGTTATTAGTTTTGTTTTTTTTTAATACAAAAAAGGAGTTTTTACTTTTATTAGAAAATTAAAAATCTCGTGCTGGGAGGAAGAAGAGTGATAGCTAGTTCGTATGTGTTTTGAAATATCTCTGTATGTGTGTTTCTTTAATAAACAGTTAACTACTCACTTGTGATTCAGGTAGTTTATTGGATGCATTGTATATGTTGTTTCTCATCCTGATAGCAATGCTACAAGGTAGGAGATATTCCTGTTTTATAGTTAAGGAAACCAGGGTTCAGAGAGGTTGAGGAATTTACTCTAGGTCGCAAAGCTGGTGGTGACTGGTAGAACCGATGTTGGAGAGCTCGAGAGCTCTGCTCTTTCACAGCACTGTGCTGCCTCCATTACATCAGTGATGGGCCTTATAAGTGAATAAACAAAGTTCTAGAGCAGCGGTCCCCAACCTTTTTGGCACCAGAGACCAGTTTCTTGGAAGATGGTTTTTCCACGGACTGGGTGGTGGGGGTGGAGGGGTGGAGGGATGGTTTTGGGATGATTCAAGTGCATTACATTTATTGTGCACTTTATTTCTATTATTATTACATTGTAATATATAATGAAATAATTATACAAGTCACCATAATGCAGAATCAGTGGGAGCCCTAAGCTTGTCTTCCTGCAACTAGATGGTCCCATCCGGGGGTGATGGGAGACAGTGACACCCGAATGTTGCTTATGTGTGTTGCTTATGTCCAGTCTACTCCGTAAGATGCAGCTTAATTGTTATTTGCCACTCACTGACAGGGTTTTGATATGAGTCTGCAGGCAGTTGATTTATTATGGTCTCTGTGCAGTCAAACCTCTCTGCTAATGATAATCTGTATCTGCAGCCGCTCCCCAGCGCTAGCATCACCGCCTCAGCTCCACCTCAGATCATCAGGCATTAGATTCTCATAAGGAGCGCACAGCCTAGATCCCTCGCATGCGCAGTTCACAGTAGGGTTTTCGTTCCTATGAGAATCTAATGCCGCTGCTGATCTGACAGGAGGCGGGGCTCAGGCAGTAATGTGAGCAATGGGGAGTGGCTATAAATATAGATGAAGCTTCACTTGCTTGCTGGCTGCTCATCTCCTGCTGTGTGGCCTGGTTCCTAACAGGCCACGGACTGGTACCAGTCTATGGCCTGGGGGTTGGAGAGCATGTATTTTTAGGGAAAGCATGTGACAGAGTTATCAGAACCAAAACTTCTGTTGGACTTGTGACTGCCTGAGATATTTTTAAATCTTTGGGAAAAAAGTGAACAATATAAATACTTTTTATGAGTTACTGGCCTGAGGGATTCTTAAACAAGTATATGTTCTCGTTGAATTGTGACTGAATGAATTAACATTTCATGTGTGTGTGTGTGTGTGTGTGTGTGTGTGTGTGTGTGTGTGAGAGAGAGAGAGAGAGAGAGAGAGAGAGAGAGAGAGAGAGAGAGGGAGGGAGAGAGGGAGGGAGGGAGAGGGAGTTGGCTCCTCTTGGGGGAGAGAGAGAGAGAGAGAGAGAGAGAGAGAGAGAGAGAGAGAGAGAGAGAGAGGGAGGGAGAGAGGGAGGGAGGGAGAGGGAGTTGGCTCCTCTTGCTTATGCCATCTTATCTTACCTTGTGTTAAACTTCATCATCATTTTCTAACCTCTGTCTGGTCAATTACATAATTTGGAGAGAGTCTAAGAT